CAATCATTTACAGCATCAAATCCAGGAACTGGAAATGCTCCGGACACAAAGGGGCCGATAAATATTACAAATGCTTTTGAGTGCTCATAATATTTACTGTACCTAACCTAATCCTTTATTTTATCAGGACAGTTTTGCAGACAACATTCCATTAATATTTTTTATAATAGGTCAGCTCAAATAACTGCTGAATTTGGACTCTTACATTTTCAAAGATGTGGGAACCTGTCACTTTAGGGCCTATGGTGAAAGGACCACACTGAAAATCTATAGTATAGGCCATTGTGATGGACATGTGTCTTTTTTACATGTCTAAGTTTGAAATTAAACACCTGAGACACATTGACTGATAATGAAAAAAATCTTTGTTGCACCATCAACTATATATTTCAATTAGAAAAGTATATTTTCTGCCTGTTTAACAGGTAAAGCTTAACTTCTTATAATCCCTGCTGCATTCATAATGCTGCTGGCGTTATAAAGTCCCAGATAAGCAGAAAAACTATAATGTACCTTTAGAGTGTTACACATTTGTTGTGTTCCATTTTCTGTTTCTGCAGTATGTTAACCTTGTGTATAGTAAAACACAATATGATGTACCGGGTTGATAGAAATGCTAATGTACATCTTATTCAGCCTGCAAACAAAAATGTGAACACATGTAACAGAAGAGCACAAACGCTGCCTTGTATCTTCTCTAATTAAGAAGTTTTACTGAGTTAACTGAGAGACAGTACTGAGGTAAACTGCAGTCCATGCTTCAGATGTGGGGGGGCTTTTTTTTTTTAAATGAGCACATTTGTTCAGTTAACTTAGTCATCCAAGCCTTGGGCATGTGACTCTCACTCTGGGTGAGAGTGCATAGTGTTACATGATACTAGCTGGCAAAAAGATCTACGAATAGACAACCCTAAAATAAACATAGAGATAGACTTCAGAGTTGGGGTTGATTCTCTCTCACTTCAACTTATTAACACCATATTTCAAAATACCTGACTAAACTGGCTTCTTTTTGACTAAGCATTTTTTTTCAAGATACATTTTAAAAAACACCAAAAACCAAATTCAAATTGGATACTGTCATAATGATAAAAACCTAATTATGCAACTATCTATCTAGAACAGTAAAAACAGCAGAGTAAAAGAAAAGTCAGATTCCATCCATCAGTCGTCCACGCTCCCACATTAGGGACTACGCAGCCTAGCAACCGAGTCCATCAGCTTATTTTGTCCTCATAATGTATGCACCACTCAACCAGACAGGCAAACTACATCACTGGTTCCTCAATTATACAGGATTTAGGGAGTCTTCACTCAAGCCATCTAATCAGGGACTATTTGAAAGATGGCATTCAATTCAATAGGGCATAAAATGTGCAACCTGGAAAAAAAAAACTAAATCTTTAAAAAAAAATGTATATTACTATCATTTTATTTATCTTTACTGACTTAAAAAATACACTTAAAATGGTGATCGGTCCTGGAAACCAATTACACATTTTTGTCAAGATTTTTTGTACAAATATCTACAAACAACTCCCCTCCGCCGTTGATGTCTAACTACAATGTAACACACTGTGCCAGACAAGCTGTCAGTCTCCCACCAGGGACCAGCCTGTTGTTTACAGCTTATAGGACACTTGCAGGACATACTGAACCTTGCTTAGACTGCTTGGTGTATCATTGGTTGCATATGTGAGCTTGAAAATGTGTGAAAGCATTGTGTGTTTGCAGAATGTGAATTATATAGAGTCAGTCATACATGTGCCTCTCACCTGTGACCGTGACTATGATGTACTGAGGAGAACCACTCTGACCATTACTTTTCTGGACCGTAGAGTGCTGAATGTTAGGGGATACATAGTGCTGCGTGGGAGTGGTCAGAACCACTGCCTTCTGGCTCTGGGCCTGGGTGGGCGTCGCTTGAGAACAAAGTACATCCTGTCTGGTTTTTGAGGCGCCGGTCGATTGGTTAGCTGTTGCGGTGGTTCCAGAGTTTGGTGGGATCTCGGACAGGAAGTGTGTCGTCTTCGCGGGCGAGGGTGTGGTGGCAGCAGGTGTTGCTATGGTTACTGAGTTGGCCGGCTGAGGCTGAAGGTCCTCTGAGTATCCAGAAGTTGCCATGGCAACCAATCCTTTGAGGCACTAGTTCTGTGGATAAAAGGAGATGGAACTCATTAATGAAAGTGCTGCAAACACACTTGGTTGGCTTATCATAATTTCACCTAGGGTTTGGCTAGATAGAGTAAGTGTGTGCACACAAATGTGTTATGTGTGTCTGCGTGTGACGAAACATACACCACAGGAGGAAGTGGGGCTTTTGTCTGAGATTAAGCAGTAGTCTAAAGCCTTTCCTGTTTGATCCCATATGAACAACAGTGCAAAACTAAGATCCATAGTTAAAAATAAAGCACTGTAGTACCATTCAAAAGCAACGTTAATTCACTGTGGTCTTGAGATGCCACACTTAACATAATAACTAGAAATATTCTACAATGGAATGCCCCACGTTTCCATCTGGAAATAAAGTCATCAGTTGTGAGGCCCACTGTCAGACAGGATTTGACGGGCCATCCCACTGTAGGACAAGCCACTCCTGCGTGAACCAACACGGCAAACAACACAATCATATGATCATTCGCCACACCGTGTCCACGGGGGTGGCTTGTCGACTTCAATGTCAGATCAAAAACTTTTTCAAAGTCACAAAAACAGTCGGAAACATGTCACACTCGTGTCTCCGCATGTATAACTCATTAACCCTCGTGTCGACTGAGCTGCCCCATGTGCTTTTCAGCGCTCAGCTTCTCTGGATCGCTGGCTTGAAAAGTGAGTTGCGAAAACGAGAGTGATAGCTTCCCCCGGCTAACAGCTCGCATTGACTTGTGACGTCTGAGCGAGCTAGCTGCATGCTAACTCCTCATGTCGGGCGGTCGATACATCTATAACCACGTCACCGATCACGTCTCGCTGTGATCTCAGTCACATGGAGCTGAACGACACACTCTGACAGATGTGACAAAACAAAGTACGACTGGCCACTACAACACACACCCGCCATCTTGTGCTCTTATCAAAGATCTGACATCGCCATAACAACGGTCTGCGTTCAGAGAGAAGCTAGCAACCACTTTCATCACCGTGTCTCGAGCGATTTCACGTTACCGCTGACGACTGTACAAACAAGCACACGGATCCAAATGGACAGAACACGACATAATAACAGTGATATATTTTACTTCGTCACCTCTGGTTTATCCCAGTAGTGTCCCTTTTAGTCGTAAAAGTTTTTTTTCCTTAGATTTTGGTTGTTGTTGTTGACTCCCGTTGCTTGGTTCTTGTCGCCAGGACTACCGTGACTATGGCGCCTCGCCTTCACCCGGGCAACTGTTGCTACCCTCCCGTTATCGCCCCTCCCTACACTAAATGCTGATTGGCTGACCTGGGAGGTGGTCGCGACGTCATTAAAAGTACCGTTCTGTGATTAGTGGACGTCCCTGTCCGTCAATGTTGTCAGAGCACAACGTCCACTTCCAATATGACTTTTATGATTGTACAGATTGTCAGGCAGATACATACAATGTTGAGATCATCGCTCATATCTGCCCCCTCTAAACAATTC